TTAGTCAGCCACCAATTGTGCAAGTTCCCCCACTTAAAATGAAGACAGAGGTCAGTAATTTGCACCAGAGGTACACTTCAACTGTGAGAGACAGAATGTGAAAAAAAAATCCATGAATCCACATGGTAGGATTTGTAAAGAATTTATTCGTAAATCAGGGTGGAAAATAAGTATTTGGTCACCTCAAACAAGGAAAATCTCTGGCTCTCACAGACCTGTAACGTCTTCTGTAAGAAGCTTTTCTGTCCCCCACTCGTTACCTGTATGAATGGCACCTGTTTGAACTCATCATCTGTATAAAAGACACCTGTCCACAGCCTCAAACAGTCAGACTCCAAACTCCGCCATGGCCAAGACCAAAGAGCTTTCGAAGGACACCAGGAAAAGTATTGTAGACCTGCACCAGACTGGGAAGAGTGAATCTACAATAGGCAAGCAGCTTGGTGTGAAAAAATCAACTGTGGGAGCAATCATCAGAAAATGGAAGACATACAAGACCACTGATAATCTCCCTCGATCTGGGGCTCCACGCAAGATCTCATCCCGTGGGGTCAAAATGATCATGAGAACGGTGAGCAAAGATCCCAGAACCACACGGGGGGACCTGGTGAATGACCTGCAGAGAGCTGGGACCAAAGTAACAAAGGTCACCATCAGTAACACACTACAACGGCAGGGAATCAAATCCCGCAGTGCCAGACGTGTTCCGCTGCTGAAGCCAGTGCATGTCCAGGCCCGTCTGAAGTTTGCCAGAGAGCACATGGATGATACAGCAGAGGATTGGGAGAATGTCATGTGGTCAGATGAAACCAAAGTAGAACTTTTTGGTATAAACTCAACTCGTCGTGTTTGGAGGAAGAAGAATACTGAGTTGCATCCCAAGAACACCATACCTACTGTGAAGCATGGGGGTGGAAACATCATGCTATGGGGCTGTTTTTCTGCCAAGGGGACAGGACGACTGATCCGTGTTAAGGACAGAATGAATGGGGCCATGTATCGTGAGATTTTGAGCCAAAACCTCCTTCCATCAGTGAGAACTTTGAAGATGAAACGAGGCTGGGTCTTCCAACATGACAATGATCCAAAACACACCGCCCGGGCAACAAAGGAGTGGCTCCGTAAGAAGCATTTGAAAGTCCTGGAGTGGCCTAGCCAGTCTCCAGACCTCAACCCCATAGAAAATCTGTGGCGGGAGTTGAAAGTCCGTGTTGCTCGGCGACAGCCCCAAAACATCACTGCTCTCGAGAAGATCTGCATGGAGGAATGGGCCAAAATACCAGCTACTGTGTGTGCAAACCTGGTAAAGACCTATAGTAAACGTTTGACCTCTGTTATTGCCAACAAAGGTTATGTTACAAAGTATTGAGTTGTATTTTTGTTATTGACCAAATACTTATTTTCCACCCTGATTTACGAATAAATTCTTTACAAATCCTACCATGTGGATTCATGGATTTTTTTTTCACATTCTGTCTCTCACAGTTGAAGTGTACCTCTGGTGCAAATTACTGACCTCTGTCATCATTTTAAGTGGGGGAACTTGCACAATCGGTGGCTGACTAAATACTTTTTTGCCCCACTGTATCCCCTCTTATCCTCCTGATTCTCCACCTTTCTCTACGTCAGCATCTTTTAAATTGAAGCAATGAATGCCAAAACACAGTTAAAGCTTTGTGTTGGAAAGAAAAGAAGTAGAGAAACACAACTAGAGCAACGGAGAACTGACCAACTGGCAATAATCATATAAACAGATGTCCAGTGGTAGTCAACTGGCACATCTGGTGTTCTACAAACTGATTTCATTCTGAAATAACTAATCTCAAAGATGTTAATATTTGTAGTAAAACATTAAATAATTATTTTTACCAGTCAGCAGGGGTGTCTCCAGATTTTCTACATAGGGGTGGCCATATGGAGGCCCCTGAATATTGGGGTGGCACACAGAAAATATAATTTCCTGTTTTATTATGCTGTTGTCGAATATAGGTTACTTGAGTTGGAGTTTAAATGTGACATGATATTTTAAATCTGTATTTGGTGGTTTCTACATGTTGACAATATACAACACATTTGTAAGAGCCATGGTTTCGACTTTTTCTCAGGTTTTGATCAATAAGTCATTTAGTCAAACTTGAAGACTTTGATGGATGTACGCCAAATTTATATGAGACTATGCACAGTAAAGAAGAAACATGAGGTCAAGGCTCGCTGTGTCTCAGGCAGAATGGGACCCAAATTGCAGGACTCGAAAGACAAGGTCTAAAACTCAACAACAGCTTTATTGCTGTTGAAGTTAATATAACAAAGACCGGGGACAACGTGAGGACTAACTAGGAACATGCAGAACAAATGCACACAGACTGACAGACAATTCAACAAAGGACATAGACGCAGACGATATAAACACGCCAGGCTGAAAGGGAGCAGACAAACGAAGCAAAACTAAACACAACACACAGGACAAGCGACTATCAAAATAACAAACACTGAGACCAAACTAAGACGGGAATTTTGCACAAGGACAGGAGATAAACATACACAACTGACTGGGGAGATAGAAAAGGAACACAAAAGAGGATAACTCAAGGTTACATATACTAATGACAAACACAGACTGCAAACAACGGAAAACTAAGAAGCACAAGGAAACAATATTATACTGAAAGGACTGGATACAGAGCAAGAACATAAACCTCATCTCAAAATCCAAAAGAACAACTCATGAGTTGAAACTTGAAACATCCCAAAACTCAAAATGCTGGGTCGTTCACCCAGGAGCATGACACTTGATGTGTTTGTGCAGCTGTACCCATGCTCACACCAGCCCACGGCAGGTATTAGATATATCTAATACTATCATTTGTTTGGAGGATGTGTTCCCTGACCAATTAAACGCTGCGTGACACACTCAGCTGTGGGCAACCACCCAAGTCGTATATGTAGCAGTGGGAAATAATTTTCTCTAACTCCTTTCACTGTTCATTATTAAAATAAAAGTTGTATTTTATCTCAAAGAAATCTGTTTCTTCTTCCTAAACATGCTCTGTAGCGATCCTGATGCAGCGCATTACCCATGAAATGAATAATGGTGCCCATAAAGTAGAGGGGTGGAATTTCAAGAAGAGTTACTTGGCTGAAATGACACATGTGCTGAAGAATGTCTCACGTATGTGGCAAACAAAAGCTACCCGACTCTAAATCAGATACTTTTCAGCATGAGGTTTAGGATTCATCCAGCCGGGGATTTTACACACAAAAAAACACAAGCGCTGAGGAAGGAGACAGAGATGCCAACCTACGCTAAAACGCACAACAGGCTATCACATGCATTTATATAACACAACAGACTAAACTATGCCTCCATATTATGAACAGAAAAGCCCTGTAGGGATGCACTGATGGTAACCAAGTCATGACTTCCTCATGAGGCGCAGTTATCTTTACACTGTTATCTTTGTAAAATAATTTTATTTATAAGTTCAAACTTTATTGGCTGATACAATTCAATTTCTTTAGCTTTGTTTCTATTACAGTAAGCATGTGTTTGCAATCACTAGTAGGATACATGTTTGAAAGTGAGGCTTTCACACAAATTTCTAAATGTTGGGATATGCTCAAATGTCTGTACAGCTGATATTACACAATATAATCTTATGGGTCCCTCTGATAATTGTGACAGTAATAATGTCATTAATATTTTGTTTTAATGTTTTAATGTGGGAACATTAAAACTACTTGGATATTTCCTGTAATGTGGAACTTTCCTTTTAAATAGACCAAAAACAGCATAATAATTAGAATGGATGTGGAGGGCCACCAGGATTTCAAATTAAATATATATATATTTTTTTTTTTAAAAAGGACAAGAGAAAAGATACGCCTACTGTGAAATTGTTTGTTTATAAAACAGTTTTTGATTCAAACTCATTATGGCCTACTATAAACTGCTGTCACTCAGCCTTTACACTTCCTTGTTGGCAATTCCAGCATATTTTCAATTTGTTTTTTCAACTTTCAACCTTTTTTCAGTAGAAATCTGAGTTTCTGATGGATGGCCAACAATAAACAACTGCCTTCTTTCTCTTTGGCATGAAACTGTTTGTTGTGGATGTGGAGAGAAGAACAGAGATGGAAGTGAAGTGTGACAACAGGCTGTTGAGGAGATGACATTTTTAGATGGTACCATTCATGGTGCCATCATTCATGAATGCCTGTGGCCACAGGTCTCATGATGAAAACCCAAAACATGCCACCAAACTTACACAAAGGTTTCCAAAGAAAAAGCAGGCTTGTACTTTTAGATGACATAGAGACTATTACTTGAATGGAACAGAACACCTTTGCCACAAGAGAGAAGGTGAAACACAACCTCCTCTGGCAAAAAGCATCCGAAGATTGATACAACATCTCTCCAGACGTTTTGTGAAATATTTGCCTCCTTGTTGAGGAGGACTGAACCCACTAAAACAACAACAAAAAGAAATGAACTGGTTATACAATGTATATACAATCTGTTTATTTGTTTGTCACATGGAGTTCCTACTGTAGCGCCTGCTGTATTTTTTAAAAAGTATTTGCAGTCTAAACATTTAGTGTTTCATTTTACAAATGAGCTAAAATATTACTTTAAATCATCAATTTACATGTGACGTATATTTACACCATTTTGAATCTCTTTACATTTTAATGATGCTACACAGGGATGTACTTCCAATTATCTTTATAATGACCTCCTTATCTGTTTACCACTTTCCTCACCAGCAGTTTGAGATCATTTTGATTTCAAAGTTTCTTTTTCATATAAAAAAGGTTGATTTTCTCTGCCACACGGAGGGAAGTTTCCCTGATTAACCAGCAGCACTGGCTACTGTACTTTGTATCATGATGACAGGTAGCCTAGGGGCTTCACTTGTCCTCGTTTAGGATCTCCTGATTGGTTCCCATGGGGTTAATCTACAGTGTGCAGCCTGTAAAGATCTCAGAGGATGTTTGGAGGATCTTTGTGCACTTCTCAGATGTAACATACCGTGATCCTGACCTTTACTATGAATAAGATGAGGCTCCTTTATTTTTCTGTTGCCATATTGTCCCTCATGCAGGTAATTATGCAGTTTGAATTTTCTATTGTCAATTAGGTTTTCAGGTAATTACAGAATTTTGAGTTAGCTTCTTAACAGTTTTTTCTTTTTTTTAAGATACCCCATGTTAAGGCTGCAGGTAGGTCTTCTGTCCTTTTTCCTTTGTCAAGTGGTTAATATTGATATTAATATGGATGTTTATATTTGTTGTTTTTCCCACTTCTTTTTTTCGTATAACATATATGGAATTTTTCCTTGAGAATATCCCTTCAACATCACACTGAATATGCCAGCGGAACAGAATGACTTCTTATGGAATGTTTTATTGTTGTTTTGGTGATTTGCGAATGATTGTTAATAGTCTATTATTACTTTCTTTGTTGGGGGTGACCCCAAAAATGATACTGGAGATGGTCTACTATTTGGAAGGTTGGTTATTCACTTCCTGGTTTTCCAACCTATATGTCAAAGAATCCTTGGGCAAGATGCTGAACCCTGAGTTACCTCCATTAGGAGTTTGACCTTGTGAATGTCATATTAAAAGTGCTTAGACATAGGAAAAACGTGAGGCTTGAAGAAAGCTGTCGAAGTGTTCAAACTGAGTAACAAAAAGAACTAATTAAGTATTCTTTTAAGGACTTTCCATCTGTTTTATTCTGCTCCACAAAGAAACTTAATAAATAAATGTTCTTACTTTTCTCAGGATGTAATATCCTGTCAGTTACATCTCCTTCAGCATCATCCCTTAATGTGGTATGGAGCACCTACAGCAATGCTTCAGTTTATGTGTTGGACTTGAGAGCTGTGAACTCCACCACTATTTCCCCGCTGATGGTGATGATACCACCAACCAGCACAGAGATGGTGGTACAGGGGGTAAGATCTGGATATGTCTATGACATCACCCTGAAGGTCCTTGTGTTTTGGGATCTTGTGTGTACAGACACTAAAACAGCCATGACAGGTAGGGACACGTTTTAAACCATCTGAATAAACAAAGCAATTTTATTTGAAGAGTAAAGTAAATAAAGTAATGCTGAACATCTTCTACATCCCCCCAGTGCCGGCTACACCTCAGATCACACTTTCTGAAGCTGTGTCAAGTACTTCCATAAGGTTTGAATGGACCAGTGTGATGGGGGCAGTTAACTATACTATAATTGTGCAAGAGTTCATTAAATCTCCAGCACAGAGCTTCACTAAGACCTTCACAGTTTCAAGGGGACAAATTGATGATTTGAATAACTTTACAACATACAGCTGCAAAGTTTACGCCTCCAACAGTGCTGGAAGAAGTGCCCTAAGTAGCACAAAGATAATAACAACGTGTAAGTGCATACAAACAGCTGGTTTTGATGGTTTTTCAGATGATGCACGTACACATAAAATATACATAATTACTTCTAAATCACTGATTAACGCCTGTATTTTGTGTTGGAAGTGGTGCAGCCACCCACTAATGTGAAAGTAGTAGCAACAGGAAGAAGTACAGCCCGAGTGACTTGGAACTCAGTGGATAAAGTCCTGCTGTACCGAGTGGCTGTGAGTGACAATAAAAACCCCAGCAACATGCCAGTCATTAGAAACACCACCAGCACAACCTTTGATATAAGTAATCTGGAGCCCTGCTCCACCTACACAGTGGGAGTATCATCATTCAACTTCTTCTTGGTGCCTGGGGAGGCTGCTAATGTTACACACACTACCTCTAGTGAGTATCTGTGCAACATCAATTATTTGTCTATTTCCCTTCTCTTCTCTTGTTTAAAAATATAAAATCAACATCAGATAAAGCGTAGAAAAGTATTTACTACCAGAACCACTGAAGCATAGGCCTGATTCCCTGTTTTTATAGATGAGGACAACTATTACCTGCATCGTGATGATATTTGTGAATGAGCTCCGTCAGAGTGTTTTGTTTGACCTGTTAGGGATAACCGAGAATATGTTCATGTACCTACATTTACCATTTTTGCTGACTTCTGAAACATAATTATGCCATCTGTTTACAATTTGTACATTTTTTTCTTTACTTTATTCAGCTATTAATTCGGTGACGACAGTCTCAGTGGACTACAGCTGCTCCAGTGGCAGTGTGACAGCAACTTGGGATGTGGTCTTTGGGGCCAGCTTGTACAGAGCCACAGCTGTAGATGGAACCGGCGCTTCTAGTAACTGCACATCAGCTTCGACTAGCTGCCAGATCTCCATGTTAAAATGTGGTGAGAAGTATGAGGTCCGTGTTACAACCCTCTCTGGCGACTGCAGCAGCACCTCCAACATATCTTCAATGTTTGAGACAGGTGAGGGCAGCGGCTGTGAAAACAAATATGACCTCTCTGAGGCTCATCCCCTGTCGCCTTTATACTGCATGTTTTCAATCATACTTCCACCTCCTCTTTTTTCCTTACATTGCACAGTGCAATCTATTCAGAACAAACTGTACCCTTAGGTCAGACTTTTTAGGTTCTTTCCATGGTGCCCTTTGTTCTTTGTTCCTTGAGCAGCAAGTCACAAGTTCATGTTATCTAATAAGACCTGCCATCTAACACCAGCTAAAAAAGCCTTCAAAAGCTCTTTACAGCCTATTGAAGTTAGGGAGTTTTCAAAAGTTATATATAGGATGGGTCTGAAACATGAACAGGTGAAGGAGATACACAATCGTGTACTGTACACCAAGTCTTCAAGCTGTTTTGATGATGTGATTAATTTAATGTAAATGAAAAACAGAATTTGGTAGCCTGCGTGATGTTAAAGATGAAATCGATAGTTTTTCTAGGTTGTTTAAACCAAAAAATGATGTATATGCATAATTAATGTGTAATTACATCTCTCGACAAACTGATACATTCTCATAAACTTTGAATGAATCCATTAAAAATACATAAGAGCAGGCACCAGTTTCTGGAAGCTGCTCAAGTGTCCTAAAAATCACACTTTCCCCATTGATAAACAGTTTGATTACATTCTCACATTGTATTAAAGTTTATGCACTAAGACGTCAACAATGTTACATGCATTTCAACAAATGTATCACTAATGCCAACTAACAGCAGCTAACAGAGGCTAACAGCAGCAACAACATCAGAAAACTTTAAGATATCCTCGACAACTCACTTCGGTATAGCTATCATTGGTTTTAAAAAAGTTTTCACAGAGTCGAGAGTCATGTTCCACTCTGAGTACACTCACTGCAGACGAACAGTGGCCAGAGTTGAGGTGATCAGAGAAAGTAGGCAACATTTTGGTCGCTTATGAAGAAGTGCACGATGTGGACTTACATTCAATACGCTTTTGTTAGTGGTTGCTCTAGTGCGTAAAGAATGGTGCATAGAAAATAAATAAATTAATGTTAATGGTTCTACAAGCATGAACCTAGCTCTTCAAGGGCCGTCACTACTGGCTTTGTTGGCCACCAACACCCTTGGCCATCAGTGACCTCAGCTATGTATGCATTCCCTTGCAAATACATAGAAGTAACTGTTCATTAGCCATATTTCTTTTAACATGTCTACAAAATGTAAGCTTTTTTCTGTGTCATTTTCGATTACTAAACGATATATGGACGAGTTAGGGTCACGATGAGGGTGTCATTTATGTCATGAAATTACAGTGAAAGGGGGAAAATGCATTATGTAAATGTGCAAAATGACTCATTGTGTCATTTCTAGAATTTGATGCCAGGATGGAAGGGATGTAGAGGTGCACTTATCTTATCCTCCCATCCTTAATTCGTTCTTTTCCCCCAGTCCCCTGCGCCCCAGCAAATCCTCAGGCTTCATACACTTGCAACAGCAATGTAGTCGTCTTCAGCTGGCAGCCCACCAACAACGCCCTCTATTATGTGGCGACGTCTGTGGATAGCAATGGCATGTCAACGGAGTGTCGAACAACAGACATCATGTGTTACTTCACTGATGCGGAGTGCGCTCAGAACTACACGTACCGTGTGTATGCTGTCACCTTACAGTGTAACACCGACATCACCGAACCTGTGATTGTTCAAACCTGTGAGTATTTCTTACAGTCTTTGTTGTGACTTTTCTAAAATGTGATTACAGAAGCTTTTTGTGGTTGGTTGCGCTAACAACTGGTAAAGTTTAGTTATTTTTTAAACACTTTGAATTAAAGGAAAGGAACAAAATACACATTCTTCTCCATTTTCTTTCTTTAGCTCCTTGTCTTCCAACTAACTTGAGAAGGAAAGCTGAGTGTGACCCTAACAGGCTGGTCATAAACTGGGACTCTGCTGCTGGAGCTCTTTCCTATTTTGTAGAAGCAAAGGGAAACACTAAAGAAAGCTACAACTGCACAACTTCCTCCAGCAGCTGTGAAATTACCAATGTGCCATGTGGTGAACACCTCAGCGTGTGGATTGTTGCCTCCAATAGCAAGTGCTCCTCTCCCCAAGTTTTGGGGGAGGTTGCACAGACTGGTATGTATTGAGTCACTGTTTGAAATTTTCATAGTTCCCGAGATGTCATACTGATAAACCAGGTGGCAGAGACTGGTAGACACTAACATCCTCTCTTTTCAGTTCCCTGCACCCCAAACAATGTCACAGTATCAGTGGACTGCAGCCAAAACTCTGCAACACTTGATTGGATGGAAAGCAGTGGCGTTATATTGTACGTCATTGTCGCCCAAGATGCACACGGCAATTCATACAGGTACATGTCAATGGACAGCACCCGTATGATTGATGGCCTGAGATGTGGACAGAACTACACTGCCAGTGTTTTTGGCACGGATTTCATTTGCAACAGCACCACCAGTCAGGAGGTTTCTTTTATGACAGGTAGGTCAGAAGATTGATAACACTGTTGTGTTGTGTCACCTATGTATAGACTATACACTATATATATTATACCTAAAAAAAATTAAACCAGCAATTACTTAAAAAAAATTTTAATCACCAAAAATCAGAATTAGTCTTAAAAAGGATGTAATAGTTAGTCTCCAACAATGTTTCTGTGAGATCCACCCTCATTTGTTATGTTCAGTTTCATGTGCAGATTTATGATGAAGACACTTAACACCTGTTAAGTTACTGTGAACTGAATCATCTTTCTCCTCTCCAGCACCGTGTCCTCCGACAAACATCGAAGCGTTTAGAGACTGTGATGCCAATCGTGCTGTGATAGTCTGGCAGAACCATCAGTCCACAGGCCTCTACACCGCCACTATAGCAGATCAGAGTGCTGATCAGCTAAACTGCACCAGTAACACAGGGAACAACTGTACAATAACTTCTCTGCCTTGTGGAAAGAAATACAATGTCTCGGTCACTTACAATGATGGAAACTGTCCGTCAGCCTCGAGTGTGGTCAGCATGGACTCAGGTACTACTGCTTTAAATTAAATCTGTTCATCAAAGCACCATATTTGATCCTGCAGAAGAAATGATTACAAAAAAATGGAAATATCCTAAATAAACCAGATGAGTTGAATAAAATGTGTTGAAACTTGAATTTAAAAATAATAAATAATATCTAAAATCTGATATCTGATATCTACTTTTAACCTAAGGAAGTGAGTGGAGCGCCATTTCTGGTATAGAAATGGTATGCCATTTCTATTGATTTTAAATGGCAGATGATGTTGTGTGTCTTTTTTCAGTGCCATGTGGTCCTGAAGGAGTCGGAGCCCATGTGAACTGCACAACTGGTGAGCTGACAGTCTTCTGGAACATCTCCACTACTGCTGAGAGCTACACCACTGTGATATCCAGAGGATCGGGCCAGCCTCTGTACTGTAACTCCACAGAGACACAGTGCAGTACAGGAGGACTGGAGTGTGGAAGCTCCTACTCAGTGACGGTCTTTTCTATCACTGGGACGTGCAAGAGCCTGCCAAGCACAGAGGTCACAGTGGACACATGTGAGACCTGCAGATTTTTCATGATCATATATGCAGATAGAGCCACAAGACTTTGTTAGATAAATCCTCCAAATTGCGTTTCTTATTCGTTTCCTTTCAGTGCCGTGTCCTCCCACCAACGTCACAGTGACACGCACATGTGCTCCACACCCTGTTCCTGTGTCATGGCTCGCCAGTGATGGTGCCAAATACTACACTGCTGTTGCTTTGAGCAGTGAAGGTCACAGGTCCTCGTGCACAACCAATAAAACCTCCTGTAGCCTCACTGGGCTCCACTGTGGGGAGGTTTACACAATAGGTGTTTCAGGAGTTGATGACAAGTGTGAAATTCAACAGAGCAACACTGTCTCTGTGAACACAGGTAACACGACCTTGACCTAAACCACCGATGTCAGTAATGTGGGTCTTATTTGGGGAATCTGGAAGCGTTACTGATATTTTATTTCATTCCAACTCCAGGACCATGTGCTCCCTTTAATGTGTCGAGCCAGCTGATCTGTAGTGCTAGAGCCGCTCACGTGTCCTGGGACCCCAGTCCGAATGCACTGAGCTATGCAGTGGAAGCCATAAGTGATGGGCAGACCCTCACCTGCAACAGCTCCAGCCCCATCTGCGCACTGAGTAACCTGCTCTGTGGCCAAGCATATGAAATTGTTGTGACTGCCACGGATGGCACATGTGTCAGCAACTACAGTGCCCCCTTCAGGCAAGACCAAGGTACTGACTTTGACTGGCAATTACTCCGGTGAGGAGAAGCCTCTCAGTCTCAGTATATTGAGATTAATCTTCTTCTACTTGGACCGTTTTTGTTTTTTTACAGCAGTGATTCCTATAATATTATATCCTATAATATTGTCACCAGTAATTTCTTAAATATGCCCCCACTGGACTTGAGATTTAATATGTAAATTTATGTTTTTCACTGATCTCTTGCAAAAGAGACTTGACCTAACAAGACCTGCCTCTTTCCAGCCTCATCACACATTACTGGTTTAAACACTTTAGCAGTGAAGATAGAAAACTCAAACTAAACAAGGCATCATAGTTGTCCTTCTTTTACATTCTTTTCAATCAAACTGATAAGCAATTAGTTTTTTTTAAACTCTACTCAATCCCAGATCAGTTATTTTTCTTGGTTTTAATATACTATACTGGTCATGGCTTTCTTCATCGAACTCAGTCAGTACACAGTTCAGCTGAGAAAAGTCTTTGTGATTAACTCCCACTGTGTTCTGTTTCTCTCAGTGCCATGCGCTCCAGGGAACATCAGTACAAACTTGTCCTGCAGCACCAATGACTTAACGGTCAGCTGGATCTCTTCTTCTGCATCCCTCCAATACAGTGTCACTGCTGTGCCATTAGCTGGAAATGTAACTTCGGTCATCTGCCACACTGATGGTGCCAGCTGTGTTCTGAGCGGCCTTCAGTGTGGACAGACGTTTAATGTCTCAGTGGAAGCGTCCTCTGGCAGCTGCAAAGGACCGCACAGCCCTCCACAGACCGTTCAGACAGGTAACAATGACGGTTATTGTAAATCTATAATTTCATCTATCTGCTAATGCTTCCTTAATGTTTCTTTTAAGTAGATAAAGTCCAAAATCAATTGTTTTAGAATCGTAATATTTAACAAGAAAGGAAAGAGATCATTCTATACCAACTATGTGACAAAACAATCAACATAACTGTCCTGTAAATGTTAATTAGTACAGCATTTTAAATTTCATGCCCTCACATGCTGATGGAGGTGTGGTCCCACTCCTGAAATTCATATAAATTATCTCCAATAGATGAGGATTTACTTTGGGTCAGCTGGGATAGGCTGTCACGTGATTCCCTCAGTGCTGCACTTCTCCTATCCTAATACTCACACTCATTAATGCTCATATTAAAACAAAATGATAACACATTATTCTTGTCTTGTTTAAAAGTCAGGGAATCATGATTCGCTGCTTTGCTTAATGCTGGAGCTCAATAAAACAAAACCTGAGCAACATACTGGAAGAAAAACAGAAAGGCTTTGATAAAGCAAGCATGCATGATATGTTAGCTTGCACCAGTAATTTGTTACTTTAAACCTTTGACATGCCAACTCTGGAAACTGCCATGTTAATTAATGAACAAGTGCAGCCTGTATTAAACCTGACAAAAGCGATATGAACTCTGAAATTGTATTCTTAAAAGGCTTACATTTAAAACACAAAATCATTTAAGATAAGTTTTTTATATAGATACTACTTGAGCAGTTGGATTTACAGTGTGTCATATCTATTTCCAGCACCCTGCTCCCCTCAGAGCTTGGCAGCAGTGACAGACTGTGGATCAAACTCACTGCTGGTCTCCTGGAATTCCTCTTTCGGTGCTTCCAGCTACACAGCTAAAGTTATGGGCCCACATGGCTTCTCTGAGACGTGCTCCTCATCAGATCTTAGTTGCTCTTTTTTCAACCTGCAGTGCGCCACTCAGTACAGCATCACAGTAGCATCCAAGAACAACCGCTGCACCAGTGCTCCCATTCAAACTACTATCACAACAGGTGTCATTTACATATATTTGTGCATTTCATGAGTTTCCAAATCATATTTGGACTTTTGGGACACATCATGTATCATGTAATGTATGTTCCTCCAGGACCATGTGACTCAGTTAACGTGACCAGTGTCCTGCACTGTGGCTCAGACGTGGCCACGGTGTCCTGGATTGCATCTCCCGGAGCTCTGACCCACACTGTGCTCGCTCAGGATGGCACATCTCATGATTATATTTCCTGCAGGACTAACACGACTTCCTGTCAGCTGAAGCAGCTGCAGTGTGGGAAAGTTTACAACCTCACAGTCATGTCTGAGGACGCCACCTGTAACAGCACTGGAGCAAGCCATGTTATAATGACAGGTAGGGAAACCACACACAGCAAAAACAAAGATGTTTTACAATCTTTAGAATCAACGAACACATTTATTAAACGTGTTTCTTTTTGTCTCCTTCGCAGCTCCATGTCCTCCCACTTTCATGAATAACACTCTGATCTGTGGCACCAGTTCCTCTTTTCTGTCATGGACCCCGGTGGCTGATGCTACAGGTTACACAGTTAACTCCACAGCTTCAAACGGCCACAAATTGTCGTGTAGCTCAGCCACAGCTTCATGCACACTGACTGATCTTCAGTGTAGTGAGACCTACACAGCTACAGTGACTGCACACGGCAACGAGTGCGACAGTGCGCCTGGAACCAGCACCAGCATTACCACAGGTGAGCATGCTTCAAATGGCACATACATGTGATCTTGCTTCATCCCCCTGCTAAACCAATGTACTGCTCTTTCTCCAGCTCCCTGTTCTCCAGTTATCATTTCTAAGCAGTATACCTGTGGCACCAACACAGCAGTGTTCAGGTGGACTGACCCTGCGGGAAGCCTCAGTTTCCTCGCTCAGGTAGAAGGAAAAGGGCATCAGGACTACTGCCACACGACAAATACCAGCTGCGTGTTTGAATATCTCCCCTGTGGCTTGGATTTGAATGTAACACTCCAGGCTCAGGGGGCGCAGTGCAACAGCAGCCCAAGTGTCAACGAATCATTAGAAACAGGTAAATAACAGACATTTTTCCTGTCATAGAGTAAGATGAAAAGAAATCACCACTGGACCTCATATCTGCCCCGTATAGTATTGATTTTTCAATTTCAAGTTCAATTATATAGCACCAAATCACAGTAACAGTTGCTTCAAGATTATTGGGACTTGAATACTGAAGGTATTCTTCAGTGTTCAAGAGAAAACTCTATCAAGCAACCCGCTATGAACAAGTACTTTGTAACAGTGGAAAGGAAAAACTCCTTTTTAACAGGAAGAAACTTCCAGCAGAACCAGGCTCAGGAAGAGGCAGATATCTACTGCAACTGGTTGGGGAGTGAGGAAAGAAAAAAGGGGAAAGAACAAGAGCGTACGGAGACAGGACAGATATAGCACTGTCCAGCCTGCTAAATCAGCTTAGCACAATTAATAAAAATAAGGGGAAATAGCCAGACAGCCAACCCTCACTAACTTCCCCCCAATCTATTATTAGTTTCTATTTTCTAGTGAATGTGGCTTATATTCCATCTGTTTCTACATCTTTCAAATCGTTATAAACATTAAGGGAAAATATGACGTCATCAATTTCCTCATGTGTATTTCCTCTAAATGTCAACCTCATAACATGTCAGTTTAAACTTCGTGTGTTTGTAACCTGATTGGTCGTTGAATGTTTTTCTCTTTTCTCTCCAAAGTCGCGTGTGCCCCACAGAACGTGAGCGCCGCCCTGCTGTGTTTGAATCATTCAGCCCTGGTGACGTGGGTGGGAAGCCCCAGTGCTACAGGATACAATGTGACAGCAACAGCACAGGATGGACACGCACACCACTGCCACACCAATTCTACCAGCTGTCAAGTCCATGACATCCACTGTGGTGAAACCTATAGCATTACCGTTACACCTTACTCTCAGACATGCACAGGAAATCCAAGTGCAGCCTACAGCTTTCCAGCAGGTACTTGAAGTCATATAATGTCCATGAGGAGAGCTCTCCCTACTTTTCAGAAAGACAACAGGAAACCATTTTTCTTATGTTCTCTGCAGGCCGTTGTGCTCCTGGTAACATCGCCGTGTCTCCAGCTTGTGAGGGCAACAGCACAGTCTCCTGGTCTCCTGTAATGGGAGCTGATATGTACATAGCAACAGCAATGGCAGATGATGGACACACTCATACTTGCAGCTCAAACTATTTAGACTCATGCAATTTCACTGACCTCCACTGTGGGGAAACCTACGCTGTCACTGTTGTCAGTGTAGACAGGGGCTGCTGGAGTGAACCAAGCTCAGCAGTGCAGCTCAGGACAGGTGAGAGAAAGCTGGAAGGAGCATCTCTGTGTTTTGGAGTCTGTAGGCTGATTTACTAAAAAGTAACAACAACAATACTGAAACATTAATCCTTTTTGATTTGCTCACCTCCTGTATCTTCCTAGCTTTGTGTCCACCCACTAACTTGACGGGTCATGTCAGCTGTGATGCCAACGCACTGACCCTCACTTGGGATCCGGTGACTGGAGCTATCTATGTCTTACAGTATGAGCAGATAGGCAGCGCTCTCCCTCATTCAGCCAACGTCACCTCTAACTCTTCCCACACTCTGGCTAATCTGCTGTGTGGGCAAAGGTACGCTTTCCGCATTGCAGCCCAGGATGGAAACTGCCGCAGCAGTTACAGTCCACCCATAGAAATAAGTACAGGTAATGAGTGTTTCCATAGCAACGGCAGCAAAAGTTGTTGTGGGGCATGCATAACCCATCAGCTCTCCTTTTCTTTCAGCCCCCTGTCAGCCCACAAACTTAACGGTCCAAGTGGACTGTGGGACAAACAATGGGAATTTTTCCTGGGATGAAAGCAGCAGTGCAGGTTTCTACACTGTGCAGGTGACAGGGGAGCACGGCCACGTAGCATCCTGCTCCTCTAATGACACCTCCTGCGCTGTGAAACTTCACTGTGGCCGTTCGTACTCTGCGACACTGGTGGCCTCCACAGAAAGCTGCAACAGCAGCAAACACACTGATATTTATTTTGACTCGGGTAAGACAAAACATTTATACTACAAGAGCAAGTCTTAGACCTGCTTAGATCTGGAAAAAGCATGTGATCTGGTGCAAAGGGAGGAACTGTGGTCCTCTGTGAGGAAGACAGGAGTGGCATTGGAGTATGTGAGAGTGGCGCAGGAAATGAATGACAGTAAGACACCGGTGGGGTGAGATTACATCAGGGATCAGCTCTGAGCCTGTTGTTTGCAATGATGAAAGTGGAAGTGGTGAAAGTCAGGCAGGGTCTGCATAGACAATGATATTTGAAGCCTAACTGTGATCTGTAGTGAGAGTATGGATCAGGGGGCGGTGCCTGGAGAGAAGAGGTTTCAATGAGATTTTCATTAGAAGTGGGATGTTGGAGGACAGGATTGGAAATATAATAGAAGAGGAGCAGCTCAGCTTCAGTTTTTGAGACATAAAGTTGGAGAGGCAATGTTGACATGGTTGGACATGTGCAGAGGAGCGGTGGTGGATATATTTGACCGAGGATGTTAGGTATGGAGCTGTCAGGCATAAGTATAATTAAGTATAAGTATTTATTTACTCATTTATGCGCTGCTCGGATCAGCTGGTTGTGTTTGTGGCATTTAAAACACTTATTGCCAACATGGATACTATGGAGCGCCCCCTGGTGGACAAAATATCCACTGTAAACGCAACGTGTTTGAAGAATGTTTCTCTGATCTCTTCTTTTACTTTAATTTTCATGTATTGATCATTATAAATTCTGAAAATATCAGTTGATAAGCATCCCAGTTGGACTTTAAACGTGACAGTGTAATTCTTCTTCTTCTTCTTTTTTTTTTACAGAAGTTTATGAGAACAAATTAAGTTGGTGATACAAAAAATTCCGTTTATAAAACCTTGAAAGGACTTGGGACCGTTTTTGGTCCCGAGAACCACGAAAATATGGATTTTTGAGGTCCTTTCAAGGATTAACATTTAATTTTATTTCTTTCCCAGCCTATCAAATCACCTTGGCAGCTTGTCTGTTGTATGTAGAGTATAGTATCATTATGTTTTTGACGCTCCCCTGTAGCTCCCTGCCTACCAAAAGATGTTGTGGCAGAGTTGGACTGTAACACCAACATGATGACTGTGAGCTGGTCTCAGACTCCGGGCTCAGATAACTACACCGCCTGGGCCATCAGCAGCACAGATGATCACAGAGCTTCCTGTAACTCGACATCCGACTCCTGCTCCATCCGTGACCTGCAGTGTGGAAAAGTCTACCAGGTGGTTGTCACCTCCTCTTCTGTTCACTGCAACGTCATTGCTGGCTCTGACTACAAGGTTCAGTCAGGTGGGTGCAGGTCTTTTAAATCCAAGACGTTTAGCAAAACATAATTTGTTATATGTTGAGTAAACCTGCTTCTTCTCCCCCCCAAACCACTTTTAGCTCCATGTAAACCTGAGAACACGACTATTGACCAAAACTGCAGCTCGAGCGTCATTACAGTAAAGTGGAACCAAGGTGACATAAAACAGAATTACACTGTTAAGGCTACGTCTGCCTCAGGTGTGAACGCCGCCTGTGACTCCACCCAGAGCAGCTGTTCCTTCCTGGACCTGAGCTGTGGTCAACTCTACACTTTCACAGTGATGGGACACACAAATGTTTGTATAAGCGAGTGGAGCACTCCTATAGAGAAGCTCACAGGTACACACGCTATGTACATCTTTCAAAAATCAGTTACATTTAGGGAAATATACTTGGTCTCTTCTTAATTACACTACAATAAGAAGATATTTGTGTTTATTTTATTAATTTGAAGCTAAATGCTAACAGCACATTCATTTAGCTTGTTACTAACATCATAGACTGGCACATAGTGCAGGTGTTACTGCAAGAGACAGTCTATAAACCCATGATGTTACATTAAAGCCCTGCAGATTGTATATGGATTAAATAGCATATAAACCTGTGGTTTAATCTCAAACTATCACTTAAATTTTACCATTCATTTCCTCATTTTCTATATCTGCCTCCAAGTTGTGCTTCTCTCTATTTCTAGGCCCATGCCCTCCTACCAAAGTGTCAGCTGAGCTAAATTGTACTACCTTTAAAGCTCTGGTCACTTGGAGTAATACTGCAGCAAACACGGGATACATGGTCCAGGCCACGTCTGCTAACGGACACAGCTCCAACTGCAGTGACTTGGGCACATCGTGTCATCTTAACAGCCTGGTTTGTGGACAGGAATACTCTGTTGTTGTGGAAGCAGTGGACCCCGGATGTACTGGTCCTTCCAGTGTCCCCACCACCATCACAACAGGTGAGTGTACAGTAGCTTTTAACACAGGGGGAGTTTTTTACTTTCAAAAATTCTAACTTTTATAATGTTTCCTCCCTCCAGAGCCCTGTGTTCCTATGAATGTCAACTTTCACTATAACGTGAGTGCTGCCCAGGTGCAGTGGAGTGCAGGGAGCGGTGCAAGCTCATACTCTGTCCGAGCTGTGACAAAGCAAGGCCTGAGTTTAACCTGTAACACCATAAACACTGACTGTGTTCTGACTGGTTTACAATGCAGTCAGACCTACAGCATCACTGTGACGGCTAAAAACCAGGGCTGTGACAGTCAGATCTCTGACGCCTCCCTCCTCATGACAGGTTAGTAGTCAAATCAGGAAGGAACATGTGTACACGTATGTACATGTGTGCATTTTAATAACTAAATGTGTTTTTTTCCCCTTAATTCAGAACCCTGCCCACCCACAAACATTCAAGCCAATGTGTCTTGTGGGCAACCCACTGCAACGGTGTCCTGGCAGCAGAGTGGCCTTGCTGCAGGTTATGTTGCCTACTTCGACAGCCAGCGTGGACACGACACTTTCTGTGTTGGCACAGACACGGATACAAGTTGTGTCGTCTCAGGGCTGATGTGTGGCACGGTGTACAACGTCTGGGTCAAAGCCCTGGGACATCAGTACAACAGCTCTGACAGCATAGTGGTCCCTCTAACATCAGGTAATGAAAACCCCACACAACGTGGCATCAAACTACTCGTTACTGATCAATTCAATATTAGCTACTCTTTCTGTGTTGTCACAAGTAGTGAAGCATCTTACTAAGTGGTCTCTTAATAGTGAAGTTCCTCATTACCTATGGATTATTTTAATTTCAATATTATTAATATAGCCTCAAATCACAACAGCAGCCTTAAGTTACATGCTTTATACTGTGATGTAAAGACCCCACAATAATACAGAGCAAATAACAACAAGCAAATAAAACCCTATAAGTTAGCACTTTGGTGACAGTGGGAAGGAAAAATCCCTTTTAGTAGGAAGAAACCTCCAGCAGAACCAGGCTCATCATCGGGGGCCATCTGCCACAACTTTGGTAGGTGTGGGGAGGAAGACAGAACAAAGACATGCCGGGAAGAGAGCCAAAAATCAATAACAGCTATATAAACAGATAGATTCTTTATGTCTTTAGTGAATAATTATCTTGTATAAATTATTAGGGAAGCTATTAAGAAACTGCTGATGAAAATCTCATTAACTACCAGCTCGTTCATGACTCATCACTTGTTCTTTAGTAACTAAGTTTTTGTGTCCCTTGTTGTAAAGAGTTACCATACTTGATATTATTCTTGATCCCACAGGACCTTGTGAGCCAAGCAATATTGAAGTGATTTACGACTGTGGGGGCAGCTCTGCCAACATATGGTGGCAGCCCAGCGATGGAGCTGTGCTCTACATTACTGTACTCACAGCTTCTTCAGGACACACAGCCAGCTGCACCACCAACCAAACCAGCTGTCAGCCGAGGCCTCTGCGATGCGGAGAGGAATACAACGTCACTGTGAAGGCTGTTGGAGAGACTTGTAACAGCAGTTCTCAGATGACAGGATACCTCACCACAGGTGCTCGTTTCAGCCAAACCTTTTGTCTCATTTACATCACAGTTCAGACCGTTTAACTTGTTCTCCCTCCAGAGCCCTGCGTTCCTACAAATGTGTCCATCCACTACAACTTGAGTACTGCCCGGGTGATGTGGAACACAGCGAGAGGTGCTGCGTCGTACTCTGTTCAGGCTGTGAGTGACCGTAACTTGACAGTCGCCTGTAACACCAGCAACACACACTGCTCCCTGACTGCTCTGCAGTGCAGCCACACCTACAGCATCACTGTGATGACACAAAGCCTGGCATGCAACAACACTGTGAGCTCTGCACCCTACCGCCTCGTGACAGGTTTGTCAATCCATCAGAAGTGATGCACAGGTTGTGTTTCCAGAGTGAGCGTTTAAATGTGACCCTTTTCTCTTCATTCAGAGCCGTGTCCACCTACTAATGTTCAAGCCAGCATGTCATGCAGACAGCTTACTTCAACTGCGTCCTGGCAGCAGAGTGACCTCGCTTTGGGTTATGTTGCCTACTTTGACAACCAAAATGGCCACTACACCTCCTGTATGAGCACAAACACCTCCTGTGTGGTCTCAGGGCTGATGTGTGGTACAGTGTACAGTGTCTGGGTCAAGGCGTTAGGACAGCAGTACAACAGCTCTGACAGCTCAGTGGTCTCGCTTACATCAGGTAAAGAAACACTCAGCATATATATCTGATGTTTTTTTTTTCATTTGGGAACCTTGATTTATTTATATTTTTATATATATATATATTTATATATATTTATATTTCCTCAGCCCCATGCCTGCCCAGAGACATGACAGTGGAAGTCAACTGCACCTCTGACAATGCAATCCTGGTGTCCTGGAACGGCACTTATGGCACAACTAACATTTCCCTGATGGCTGTCGTTGGTGGAAGTCTTCAAACTCTGTGCACAACTCAGCAGGAAAGCTGTAACATGACAAGTTTAAGCTGTGGGGAAACCTACAGTCTCAGCATCAACGCCAGCAACGACCAGTGCAGCCTCAGCACACAGACACTGTCTAACTTTACCACACGTGAGTGAGCTTTTACAGGTAATGTGCATGCATGGCTGCTGCTGATTTCATTTGCTCACAATAAAACAAACATAAACATCTTCCTCAGGTCCTTGTCCTCCTCAGAGAGTAGCTGTCAATCTGCAGTGCAGCTCCCGTACTGCTGTCCTATCCTGGGAAGAGAGGTCTAATGTTGAACTGTACACAGCGAGCGCCATCAAGGCGTCAGGAGGGGAAGAGAAAACGTGTGCCTCAGTGACCTCCAGCTGTCAGTTCTCGGGTCTGGACTGTGGAGAGATGTATAACTTTACTGTTACAGGCCACAACAGAGGCTGCTGTAGCCAACCCAGCAGTGCTGTGTTCATCCACACAGGTACTCCTGAGACCAAACTGTAAAGTACAGAAAATCCCTTGTTTCAGCTGCACAACAGTGGAGATTCTCACTGAAACTGTTCCCATTGTAAATATATGATATATTTTATTTTACATTTGAATATATATTTTAAATATAAAACAAGTAATGATCTTATAAAACCGCATGCATAGCAGACTCAATAATCTAGCAATATATAAAGTAGGAAAGAAGAAATGGGATTTCCTCCAAACATGTCAATCTTAAGGCATCAACAGCAGTAAAACAGTCATAGAACATTTTTACGTAATAAGACTCTAAAGGGTCGATTTTGATACTTAAAGTTCATTTTAGAGTTGAAGATATTTATTACTCTAATCACGTAAAAATAAGTTCGGGAATAAAAACTGTATTTTTATATCGTACAACCCTCTTTACAAAAAGTTTAGAGGCTTACATGTAAAAACAGGATGCAGGGATACACAGTCCCTTTAAATCAGACGCTGAAGTTTAAAGTAAGAAATATTTATAGATTAATCGGACATCTTTACTGGCAGAGTTATTACTTTTGCATTCGTTTTTTGTCTAATTAGTTTTTATTTTAATTTCATTTTGACCTTCAGATGAGTTTCAGTTATTTTCCAGAGTGGGTTTGCTTGTTTGCGTATTTATATCTGTGTTGATCTTTTTAAACATTTAGATGGAGGACATATGTGAGAGGCAAGATTTGGCACATGTATTACAATAAAAACACAGAATGTTTTAAAGGCAGTTGACTCACAGTCTTGGGAGTCAACCAAAGTGCCAGTAAACATGTCCACCAAAGCCTCATTGGGCAAGTTGCCATAACAGCTTTTACTAAATTAACAAAGCCTAAAGCTAAGAATTTCCTCTATATTTTTAATGTTTTTCTTTCTAAAGTCTAGCTTTTATTTTGTTTTAATTAACTAAATCTAGTTTTCATCAACTATGATGTAAAAGATGAAGATCTGAACTCTTTTCTCTCTTTTTACAGAGCCATGTCCACCTACAAATGTTTCTGCTGAGGTGCTCTGTGAGTCCGATGAGGTGAAGATCTCCTGGCAAGAGGCGAGTGGTGCTGAGAGTTTCTTGGTTACAGTGAGCGGCAGCGACGGATTCGTGAAGACTTACAGCACAAACCAAGCGCTTCTAAGAGCCTCTTTGCCTTGTGGACAGGACTTTAATGTCACTGTTCGAGGACAGGGCAGCATGTGTAATGGCATCCCCAGCAGTCCCACCTTCTTCAAAACTGGTGGGACTTTTTCTACATCATATGCAAATTATTTTAACGTTTATGTTTTGACTGTTTTGTTTTGTTTTCCTTTTTGGGACACAGCTCCATGTATACCAAGGGGTTTGGCAACTGACGCAGAGTGTGGGTTTGACGTGGGCTCCGTCAGCTGGCAGCCAACTGATGGAGCTGAAACATACATTGCTGTAGCCACTGGCCTCGACGGCCACACTCACCGCTGCATAAGCAATACCGCCTCCTGCACCTGGAGCGATCTGCACTGTGGGGAGGAGTACAGTGTTGTAGTGAGAGCAAAGAGCAACAACTGCACCAGTCTGCCGAGCAACAGCTCAATCATCCACATGGGTATGATATTGACGAATGAAAACAAAGTGAAATGAAGTCAGAATACATCATCTCATGTCTGTAATTGTTCAGCAGTTTCTACAGTTTTTCTTAGAAATTTGCACAAGTAAAAGAAACATTATCAGATCATTGTTTCTTTCCAGACCCCTGTGCTCCCCAGAATTTGTCTGCCACTGTGAACTGTGATATGAAAGTGGTGTCTCTGAGCTGGGATGCCAGCAGTGGGGCAAAGATGTACACGGTTTACGCTGAGGCGGGAAACAAGTCAGTCAGTCTCAACACTAACATGACCACAGCCAGCTTCACTGGATTTACCTGCGGACAAAAATACAGCATCAAAATCACACCTCACAGTTGGTACTGTCCTGGAAACTCGAGCGCTTCAGTCTCTGTGCAGACCTGTGCGTACTGGTCAGATACACAGTTTTGACCAACCACACATAATGGAGAAGTGAGCTCTAATCTGAGTTTATATGTTTTTATACTAGGGCCATGCAAACCCATCGGAGTCTCTGCCAGCCAGGACTGTCTTACTAGTATTGCTGTGGTAACCTGGCAGCCTAGTAATGGGTCAGATGTCTACACAGCCACCATGCAGACTGACACCGGCGTGTCAAAAATGTGCATGTCAGACACTAATCAGTGCAGCTTCCTTGACCTGATGTGTGGACAGAACTTCTCTGTCTCCGTCACAGCTTCCAACCAGCAGTGTGACGTCACCGCCGGTCCAGCCACAAGTCTGCAATCAGGTGAGGATTGCATGGCTACTAGAGCAGGAAACGCAGGCTTTCATTGCTATATTTAAACTTCATTTCTTAATTCTGTTTTCATATTTGAAAGGATTTTTTTTTCTCTGTTAGAATTTAAAGGTGAGGAAAGTGACATGTTTTTGTGGTCACTGGGCAAACAAACCTTTCTGAGACTCCCACTTTTCCTCTGCTGGTCTCCAAGCATCTAGTCAGTGTTGGGAGGCTGTCCAATCATAGGAAGCCTGAACAAGGAAAAAGTGTGACAATGTCTAGTTATGATGTGAGGGGATGGACACAAGCTTTATTATTTCTACAGTCTGTGCTTTTAAATATGTAAAGTCAGCATAGTTAAGGTGTTGTGTAGCAGTAGTAATCATTTTGCTGTATACTGAGGTTTTTGCTCATGATGCTCTCCACACTGAGTGACTGATCCTGTTTGTTGTGTCTGCTTTATCTTCAGTACCTTGTGTTCCCACTGACGTCTCAGTGGCGATGGATTGTGCTAACAACACTGCTGTTGTGTCCTGGGCTTCCAGTCAGGGTGCTGTAAAGTACTCAGTCATGGCCCACAGTGGCCATGTTAATAATGACAGCTGTCAGACCGCTGGCCTTAGCTGTAGCCTCAACAACCTCACCTGTGGCAGCCTCTACACCGTTCACGTTGTAGCTATGGGTGACAGCTGCTCTAGCGTCCCCAGCTGGCCTCTGAAATTTAACTCAAGTAAGAGAAACAACACCAGTGACCAGAGCCTAAAGCACTTTTAGGCGATCAAATGTTTGCAATTTAAAGCATTCAGCTGTGTATTCAAACTGTTGTCATGTTTTCAGTCCCCTGCCCGCCTCAGAACGTGAGCACCCAGGTCGACTGTTCGTCAAATGATCTGACAGTTTCTTGGGAAGCCATCGGAGATGCTGACCACTTCTTGGTTTCACTAGCTGCTGAGAATGGCGAAAGCGAGTTATGCAACACCACAAACACTGTATGTTTCAGCAGCAATGCCACATGTGGAAAAACCTTCACAGTCCAGGTGACCTCTGTCAGAGAACACTGCCGCAGCGTGCACAGTCAGACCCAGAGCATCCAGTCAGGTTAGACAACTTCAGTTCAATTCAATATTTCTAAAGCGCCAAATGACAATAGTCACCTCGAGGCACTTTATATATATAGTGGCCCCCCAGCAGCTTAGGTCTAATAACTAAGGGAGGATTCAGGGCCACCTGATCCAGCCCTAACTATATGCTTTACCAGAAAGGAAAGTTTTAAGCCTAATATTAAACAGACAGGGTGTCTGTCTCCTAAATCCAGGCTCTGCCTCTCATTTTACTTCTAAATACTCTAGGAACCTGCAGTCTGAGAGCGAAGTGCTCTGTGGAACTATAAGGTCTTCAAAATAAGATGGAGCCTAATTATTCAAGATCTTGTATAAGAGGAGAAGGATTTTAAATTCAAGCTTCAAAGAAAAAAAAAAACACTTGACAAACTACCCTGGCTTGCATGGATCCTTCCAACCAATCACCAAATCAACTTTATGTGTTTTAGCTCCCTGCCAGCCCCAGGGGATCATGGGCAGCGTTGACTGTGTGACCAACTCTGCCTGGATATCATGGCTTGATGCTCCCGGGGCAGACAGCTACACTGTGTCCGGTGTAGCTGTAGGTAGAAATGACTACAGAGCCAACTGCACCACCTTTACCAACATGACGTGTGAGATGAAAGACCTGGCCTGTGGTGTGCTTTACAACTTCAGCGTATTGGCCAAAAACAGCGAGTGTGAGAGTCAGCCCAGTGCCCCCATCAGTTTGGAAACAGGTACTTCAGTAAGAGCTGTGTTTTCTCATTTCAGTTAATTACTCGTGCCACAGTCTGAACTTATCAACATCTGCTTCATTCTCAGCCCCCTGCTCCCTCTCTGCTATCACTGCTGTCCCCCAGTGTCACAACTCCTCCATCCTTGTTATGTGGGATCTCATGGAGGGTAGTGAGAGAAACACTGTGTACACTGCTGCAGCAGAAGCCAGTGATTACACGTTGTTGACCTGCAATAACACCGGCACCAGCTGCTCCCTCCAGGAAGCACAGTGTGGCCTTCAGTACACCATCAGCGTAGCTGCTTCATCGGACGCCTGCAGCAGTATGAGAAGTCCTCCCTCCAAAGTTAGCATGGGTACGTCTTCATGTTTATTTTCTGTCAAAAAGTGCATCAAGTTTGGAAGTTCTAAGTTAACAGATATGCAGCTTACCTCAGCTTAAAGACTGGAAGTAGACAAGTATTTTTTTAAATAAATTAGCAAGAAAAAAACCCCAACAAAGTGGTTTAGTAATACAGCCAAAATCACAGCTTAAATACAGCAGATACAGATAATTAAAAGCTACTAAATCTAAGTAACTAAAAACCCATCACCTGGCCTTTGTGCATTTATGTTGACTCGTCTTTTTCCACAGAGCCCTGTCCACCCACAGACGTGAGGGTGAACGCTGCCTGTGAGCATCACAGGGCGGTGGTGTCCTGGACTCCATCTCCGGGTGCTGAAACCTACCACGTTGTCGCTGAGGCTGCAGATGGACACACGCACACCTGCAACACAAGCTCCACAAACTGCAGCTTATCAGAGCTCCACTGTGATGAGCAGTACACTGTGTTTGTGACAGCTGGCCATGAGAACTGCTCCAGCAAAGCCAGTCAGAATGTAACACTGAACACAGGTATTTGTTTTCGGACTTGATGTTAGTACCAAAAATGACTGAAGAATATAACTAATATTAGCACTCTAAGACTTACACCATCTTAATTGCTCCTTTTACCCAGGCCCTTGCCAGCCAAGTGGACTCTCAGTTACGTACCAGTGTAGCAATCAGTCCGCGACGCTGACGTGGACTCCCAGTGGACCAGCTAAAGACTACTACGGCTGTGCTCAGGCTGGAAATGAAGACATGCTTTACTGTCACAGCACAAACCCCAGCTGTGTTATCAATGGCCTCGACTGCGGAACTGTTTACAATTTCTCTGTCCAGGCCTCAGACGGGACATGCAACAGCTCCTTCAGTGATCCTGCGCAGATTGAAGCAGGTAAAAAAGGAGCTTCATATTCGTCAAACCCTGAGTAACTTTTCACATTACTGTTACTGACTCCTCCTCTCTTAGTTCCCTGTCCACCAGCTATTGCTGAGGTGCAGCTTTTCCCAATGCAGGACGAGATCCAGGTGATGCGTTTCAGCTGGAAACAGATTACCTGTGGCGACACCGGTTACATGCTCACTTTGACAGGAAGTCTGCTGGGAGACAGCCAGGCCCTGTTCGAGCTTTCTTCCTATTGGACAAATGTGACATACTTTGAGTTTCCTCTCGTCTGCAGTTCGAATTACAGCGCCACAATGAAGAGCAGGAATGCTGCAGGGATGAGCGACACATCCATGCCTGTTTATGGAACAACAGGTAGATTACACCCCAGATTTGAGCTGTTGTTCACTGCAGTTACACAGGTGCTTCATGTGTCCTCACAAAATCTGGTGTAACTAGTAATCATATGAGCTATTTGTATTTCTTTCTTTCTTTCTTTTTAAATAAAAAATGAATGAACTTCTTTAAATCCCATTTCTCTCTCTCAGCTCCTTGTCCACCATCGGGTGTGGTGTACACTGGAAACAGCTCCTTTGCCACAGTTTCGTGGAACGCCTCAGTGTTTGCCGTCAACTACACGGTGTATGACAACAGCATAACGCCAAAGGTCCAGCTGTGCAGCACTGCACAGCTGTCCTGCTCTCTGTCCAACATCGCTTCCAGCGATCTCGCGATCACCGCCAGCAATGCCGCTGGAGAAAGTGAAGCAATAAATGTCACAAAAAGTACGGTTCAGTAGCTTTGTGGTGACAATTAAGACAAGTTTAAAAACGAATAATTAAGATCTAAACTGATCTTCTGTATTTAGTGGTGACGCACGCACGCAGGAGAAGAGATCTCCAAGAACAGATGTCACTGAATGGTGAGTTTACATTCATTGGATTTTATTCTATTTAGTTTTGATTTTAGAGCTTTATAAGAATTAACTTCCACGTCTACCAGCTTCATCACACTCTGAAGTTCTAAGTCCTCCGGGACTCTGTTCAGAACTTTTTTTCCCTCTCTCCATCAGGAAGCATCTCAGCTCCTGTGTTGGACGTCACGCACATAACATCAACAGTCATTTCCATCACATGGTCTAAGGTGGAGGGTGCTTCTTATTACAGCCTGCTGGTTATAAAGCAAAGCAGGTCCCACGAGCACCAGCAGCTGACGGTGTACGGGGAGAGCATCATGCTCACTGATATGAGACCAAACGCCACCTACTGCATCTCTGTGCTGGCCATTTACGCAGACGCTAGTGGGCCAGAGTCTGAGCCCGTATGTGTGCGGACAGAGAGCGGGCTTCCACAGTAAACGGAAAAGGCACTTCTGAGGCCTCCACACCTCTCCTTTTAAAAATGGTTCCACTTTTAGATGCCAAATCCTTAACACACAATACACAAGCACATTAGATTGTGGGAATTAATGTGGGTTGCTCTGCTCGTGTACCATGAGATGCATTCAGCATTAGCCTCACCACTGATAATAAAGTAGTTGTCTTTAGAATAAAAGGCTCTGTCCTCCAGTTCATGCTTATATTAAAAACTCTTTATAAAGATGGGTTTATGTCTACTGCTGGTTGAAGTTGCATGTTCCTCCTGCTTTTTTAATTCTCATTTTGTAAATTATCATCATTGCTAAATGTGTATTTAACATGCAAATAATTTTCAGACTACATTCTAATAAAATAATGAAAATATTTTCTTTCAGCTTCTTTATGTGTACGTGTGAGTTGTACAAATGACCCGTTGCTTTTTTTTTTTTTTAAGTGTTTTATTAGAAAACAAAATGCAACAGAGCAATAACCGAAACAACACAAGCAGGGCTCAAGTGTGTTTTGTAAAAATTACCCTTTGCGGACCGCATTTGAGAGGATTAAAACGCTCTCAGGACGTCTACACGTGATCACGGACAGAACTGTTCTGCTTTAGCTGAGCCACATGGCCTTCACGTTAAGTGTTGAACTTCAACCATTTGTGTACAGAGGCATATCAGACAAATTTTAAGAGTAACCACATGTGGTCTTTTGCACAGGCTGAAAGTAATTACAGTCATTTTTCATGAATCGTGTAATCTACATGGCGATAGTATAGCACTGAAGGCATCCGGCCCAGCAGGAAGTCCAACTCTGCCCGTGTGCAGCGTGTAGACAGCCTTAGAAATTATGTACAAACCCCCATCTTTCTGGGACAACAAAACAAAAAATAGAAAATTAAAATGCCTTTTTTTTCCACTTTCCAGAATTCAAGTGAAGACTAACGATGGTCTAATGGGGAGTGAAATAGCGGAAAAACATAAAGCAACATCAGCCATAGACAACAAATCCAAATGTCCGATGTGCAACTGTTCCTTCTTTTTAGCACAAGTGACAGAGCAGACAGCCGAATATAGAAAAAGAGGAGGAAAAACACAAGTAATATTGCTGCAAGGCAGCATTTACTCGATGCTCGGACTGCTTCTATGTCTACTATGGTCATTGCTGGACTCTCGCTGATGGTGGCTCCTCTCTTTGCTGCGACTGCGTTTGTGAGAGCGCTGTTCTCCATCTCTCTCCCTGTCCCTCTCCCTGCTGTGGCTGCGCTCCCGTTTCCTGCTCTTCTCCTCTGCCCCACTTTTGTGTCTCCTCTCTCTGCTTCGACTCCGGCTGGACCTTTTGGCCTTCCTCTCGTCCCTGTGCCTTTCCCTATCGTCCTTGTGCCTGCGGTCGTCAGTCTCTCCCCTGCTCTTCTTATCCCTGGACCTCTCCCTCTCAGTGCCTCTGTCTTTATGGTGATCCCTGTCCTTCCTCCTGCTCCTGTCATCCCCGCCGTCCCTTTCCTTCTCCTTGCGCTCGCTCCTACGGTCCCGGCTACCGCTGCGGCTTCTCTTGCGCTCTCTGTTTCTGTCCGCGCTACGGGAGCGTCGCCTTTCCCTGTCCCCTCTGTCCCCCCTCTCCCTGTCTCGGTCCCTGCCTTCCCTCTCCTTCCTCTGCCGGTCACGCTCTCTCTCCAGCTCTCGATCAAAGCTGGGCCCGTGGCGCTCTCTCTCGCGATGGTGGCTCCTGCTCCTGGACCGTTTGGGCGACCTACGGGGGCTCGGTGTCCGCCTGGGTGTCCTGGAAACAGCGACAGAATCATCTTAGAACAATTTACTTCAAAAACAAAACCACACGAGCACAATTCCAAACTCTTACGTTTTAACATTTAACTGACACACAACTTTTTTTTTTAAAAGACTGTGGTATTTTTAGTCATGGCAGAGTTCAGATATTTGAAACTGCGGCACAGATATACAGATGAGGATGTTTTATATGCAGAACATGTAGCCTTATTTATAGTGCAGTGTCTGTTTCCATGGGCATGTCAGTATTAGCAAAGGCTGATGTCACCGACAGTAGTGGTAAACAAAGTTATCTGAGATGGTGAGATCATTATGGGGTGTCAAAGGAGACCTCCCCATTTCCCAGTACACATATTTTGCTTGGACCCCAGCAAAATACCCTCCACATACCGTATACATATTCTTAAGATTTAAATAATATGACCTATTCTAACTTTATTGTGCATATCGGATTTTTTTTTTGGCAACATGGATTCTTTAAAACACACAACACACACTGTTCTGGCAAGTCAGACACACACAAGGAGAGACTAATGAAATCTAAATGCTCCACTAAATATCAAAGGAGCTCCTTCAGTCCTGTGGCAGTTCAGTTATGCAATCCCTCTTTCTTCTAAATCCGCAATTTATTTATATCTGATGTGTCCATTCAGACTACAAATATACCATGAACATCTTTAATACCTATCCCTTGGTTTTTTCATAACCCAATAATGTCCCTTTATTGTTGATTATGCACATTGCATGACTGGTCTATACAAAGTTAAAGGTAAGAGACTGTTCTACCTGTTTAACAGAGGTTTGCACGTTTTCTGTTACTTTTAGCCATTTAATTAACAAACGTGTCTCGTGTATTTTGAGCTTATATAACATTTCATGATCAAAGTCCTTGTGGAAAGCAAAAACCTCCTTTGTGAACATTACAATTTTTATATGTAGTTAATTTTGACAATTTATACTGTTAAAATGCTTTTATTAGTAATTGGCATTAAAGAGAGAAATAATAAGAAAGACCTTTTCTTTTTCTTTAGTTATAAAAAAAAAAAAACAACCTAAGGGGCAGAAAAATAAGTTAACATGAAAACAAGTCAACAGCTCACACACTGCAGGACTCAAATCTGTCCCGTTTATTGCTCCATGAAAGCTATAACCTGTCGAGAAGTCTACAGCTCAGTAGAAACACTCAGTTTGAATCACTGCCGTTACCTGGAGCGCCGGCGTTCTCCTTGCCTTCCCGACTCTGCAAACCCGTCCTCGTCCTCTTGCGTCTCCTTCTGAGGTACCTTCCGTGGCCTTGCCTTTATTTGCTGGTCAATAACTTTTTGCACAGGCACTGGGATACGGGGGAACAGTGTGGAAAACCACTCCAGTTTGGTCAGGAAGGAGCGCAGCATCTCTCCAATGGTCATCACACAACCACCTCCTGCTTTTACGTCGAGCTCCTAAAACCAAATGGTGGGGGGAAATAAAGCAAGAAAAAGAAAAAAAAAAACTCAGTTAGCACACAAATTTAGCACATTGACAAATATATATATTTTTTCCAATCTTGCCTCACATCGAAAAGCAATTTGTGATGACCAAGCACTGAACCTTCACCTCTGTTCATCTAGCTTAATCTCTCATCAAAGACCAAAAACCAATCAAATGTGCCTGGCCTTACTTATTAATAGTGGAAACACAGCTCTGAATATCTTAAAAGTCTGGTCTCACCTAACCTGTCTGTTATTTCCTAGTGTCTGTATTTACAGAGTGAGCTTTAATTATGCAGCAAAAGTCACTACATTTATACGACGCAATGCCCATCCTTCATATCCTTGACAGCATCTTCAAAAAAGTGCTAATGTTTAACTATAAACTATAACTTTAACTTAAATATGAAGGAAAGAAAGAGTGAAACATTGGGGCACACTGTCATTGTGCTAAAGGGAAAAAGAGAAAGAAGCTTTAGCTTCCTTCTTCAATCTCCCAAAAGCATAATGAACGCTCAAAGAGAATAAAAATTGCCCACAGTGTAAGCACAGATTGGAGCAGGTAGGTAAGTGCACACCATTTGAATAGTTATCAATTTTATATGGTAGAGAACAGCCACTTTGCACTCACGCAAACCAACAGTGCTGAGATACAATATCCAATTCACCTGCTGCACAATGGGCATCTAAAGAAAAAAACAGGGGAATTAACCAGTTGGGTAGAATTTCAGAATTATTCAATTCAAATATAATGCAAAAGAACATCAGAGGAGGCCTGGTTGCACAGCCTGGGATAAAATTAGATTTCACCTAAATATGAAAATAATTAACATAAGCAAATATTTTACATGCATTAAATAACACAGTGTTTATTTCTTGCCAGTGTTCCAATTGCGGTTTATCCCAAATGTAGTTTTGTGCAACAAGTCCTTACAAAAGCTTGTCAGAAAACAGAGGGCATGCCTTAAAATTACAGTGACTAAAAGATTTACTCGGCATCACGTGTGGTACTTACCCCGATAAAAATCAGCAGCAGAGCAGTGAGCAAAAGTAACCTAGCTACTCAGGTTTAGAGGACAAAAACTGGGGACAATTAAGCCAAATGAAGGCAAAGGTGAAAAATCAGCTATGAGCATCACAAGGGGGTGGGTGGGGGAGTACAGCTTTTTATGAGTGACGTTCAACTGTGCATTTCAAGGAGAAGGAGAAAGAAACATGAAATTATTACCCGAGGTGACATACCTCCTCATCATCCAGGAAGCCGTCATACCATTCAAACAAATCTGTTGGGGGCTGAGTGTATCTGAGACAGGAAAGGGAGCACAAGCACAGAAGTTTATCGTTTTGAGCTAATCTTTTACAGGAGCAACATGTTTTACACATTTGAGGTAATTATTTAAACAAAACATTGCCTAGTCATATTGCTTCACTAACTTATTTTAAAATTTAATTAAGATTTTAATTACTCATGATGCTCATGATGGTCTAAAACAAAAACAAAACAAAACAAAAACTTTACATCACTCCATCTCAAACCATCACAGCCATTCTGCTCGACCATCTCCGATTTGCATATAAAGTAACCTTTGTTAGCTTTATTCGTGTAAACAAGCACATCTTTATTTTTATTAATAGTCTATAATCCCACTTCCAACATGTTTTGTGTACTTGTGAACATGTAAACCTCAAAAACTGTTACAGTTAAAAGCATTATATTTTTACAAATAAATTGTAACTACATGGAAACATATCTGAATAATGTCCAGTTTACCTATGAGAAAAATTCAAAAAGGATTGTCCATATTTCAGCAAACACTAATAAATAAATTCACACTGCAAAATACAATTTTTGAGTATTATATACACTTGTAGTTCACAATAATGCAAAAGAAACTTGCAGAATACTTTATAACATCAAATTCTTAAAATATACTTTCCTTTTTAGGACTCTTGTTATTACAAGTTGTACCAAAAAATTACTGGAATATTGTTATTCTAATTATAACTTAAATGTGTATAATATAATTTTCATTTAATTATATATTTCCATATTTTGGATTATACTATTTTTAGGCAAACTGGAGATGGTCAAAGAAAACTTTTCTAAACAATATGATGATTTAAATTGCAATGATGTATCTACGGATCATTAGGGCCATGTTAAGGAAAAAAAGTTTTGAGATTAAAGCCGAAATACTATTTTTGAGATTAAAGTCTAATGTTGATGAGTTAGTGAAATGGTTTTAGTTACAAGGAAAAATATTATCTTTTGGCACATAAACAGTGTGTTGATAAGTTTAAGAATGCTGAGGAGAAGGTGCAGGCAACAACACACACAAACTTGGAAAAGTTGGTCAGATTTGTGCAAAGATGCAAGGATATCCATGGTTATGTTATATCACAAGACACAATAAGACAGCTGATCAAGTTGTCTCACTAACTCATCCAAACAAAAGGCATGGGAGCTGGGGCAGTTGTTTGGCTTGAAACCACAACTGTAATGTCTACATTTCGACTTTAATCTCACAATGAGCTCGATTTTTTATGTCGTCCGAAATCTCAGTCATACTCATCTGTCCTCTGAAATAAGAAAAAAAATTGTAGTGAGTTATAACACATACCTTATATACATGAAACCAAGGGCTCGGATGTACGGAGAGTCTGTGTGTGTAATCAGGCCCATGAGCTGTTTGCGAGTCAGCTTGAGAGTAAACAGTTTGTATAGAAGACAGAAAGCAGTAGAAACAATCCCACCCGTGCCTACTCCGCGTACCTAGCGAAAGAAGACAAGTTTAAATGAAAACTTTAATTTGCAACCTTGCCACAAAACTATTAAACTCACCAGTGGAAGTGCAGTGAATTATAGCTTATGTAATGGTGTACAACTGATTTCACCAGTTTACAGATCAGATTAAGTGACTTTATCAAGCTGCCATCCTTCATCCTGGCACAGAAAAAAGGGAAAGGTGGGGAGTACAAAAAGCACGTACTTCTCACTTACCCCTCCGCACATTCCAGTCTGGCCTGCAGTCTTTCTGCTTCCTTTTTCCCAGGGCTCAATGTGAGTCACCTGCAGGTACACAGACAAACACAAACCGCTTGAAAAAAAAAAAACCCCACACACACCAATCAACTCTATGACTTCAAGGGATTATCAAAACAACGACAGAGATTTACTTTCCTAATATTTCTTTAACATATGCCCAATCAACGGGTCTGAAACTCAAGTGGAGTGGTTCTAACGTTAACGACGGAAGGCAATTAAGGTCACTTTAATTGATATAATAATGTTAATAATCTCTTTAACTAACAGTAATTCAAAGTTATACGCATACTGTGCTGTACAACACGACAACACCAGCTTCCCTCGCCTGCATTGGGAATTATTATATAAACCCTGCCCTCCCCGCTGCGCTTATTACTTTACGACAGTTGTACACTGCTACAACCCCGCTAGCTAAACTGGACGTGGTTACCTAACCTAGCATGCGGGTTAGCATCAGCAGATGTTATTGTTATAGTTACCTTGAAATAGATTTCGTCCACAACTTCATGGTAGGTCTTTAGCTCATAAAGCTGTACTTTGAAATACGGCGAAGACAGCACGTTGGTAAGAATCATTGGGTTAAGGTTCATAGTCTTTTCGTTGCCCCACAGGGGCAGTACGTTTCCATGTTTTCCAGATGTAGGCTTGCTAACGGCCTGCGTTGGTAGCTGGTTTCCGACGGTAGCCATGTTAGCTGAATCCACCACCGCTATGCTTTCTTTAATTTTTGCGTATATCCGGCTACAGATCCATCAACATTAGGTAGTGAACTATCGACCGTTAATAAATTTGCCTGTTTAATCCTCGGTGAAATGTAGTTAAATTGATGATAATAACTTCCCGCCGTCGGTGTAGCTAAAGTACTGCGAGGTGGAACCGGAAGTGTGACGTTTGTGGCGCACTGCTGCTGTCCTGCGACGTTGATACGTCAGCGCGTTTAACTTTTAAAATAAAAGCATGCAAGCTCGCAGGAATGGTTTAAGTTATATTTGACAGGTCAAACAAATGCGGTTTTAAAAGATGTGGTTTTACAATTATATCCAGGTATAACTAATTCAAAACACGTAAGCTTTCTGTTGGTATTCGTGTGAATGTCGTTAGCGAATTCTTATTTTGAAAAGGCTTTCCCCAAACCGGAAGTAGCATCGTCAATTTTTTTTTTATATTTTTCTTTTTTAAAACATCTATGGTTTTGGCGTGCACATTTCAAGAATTTAGACACAAAACCCAGTTATTCCAAACATCGAGGTTTCTCTTTCAGTGTTTACTTTCCTTTTTAATTATTTTGTTGAAATGTGGCTGTCTTTCACACTCTTCTGCACTAGGATTTAGAAATGAAGCACAAATACTAGATAGAAACTTTCCAGAATTAAAATTTTTATTTAAAAAATGCAATAAATGCAGGAAAATGTCAACAAACTGACTGAGTGTATATACAGTTAATCTCTATAAACTGATATGTGCATGTGATGATAACCAGCGGGTTGTCAGAAAGACATACTGATACAGATGCTGTAAAAAGATGTATATTTGGCAGCAAAATATACATTAAGCATTGTACATCTTTAATTTGGTAAAACAAATTTGTGACTAAAAAAAAAATATATTACTAGCATTATTATTGTTGTTATTATTATGATTCTGATTAACTTAACATCCACACACAATTAACTGTATTAATGTCAATATTTTCAATGCTGTAACCCTTCATCACAACCAGATGAAGAAAGGTGTTCATTTGTATTGAGCATGAATTATTAAAATAAAATCTTACTATAACCACAATAAATAACCAACCAACCAACTATAACCATTGTCAGTTTTATAATACTTAGCTTTTACATAGGTAGAGGTGTGCAATTGCCTGGAATCTACATTTAGATAAAATCCTTTTCACAGATGTCAAAAGTTTACCTTTCTTGCAGAAAACACCTGTTAAAAAAAATGAGAGAGAGGAAAAAAACCCTCTTTAACCCACAGTCATATGCCATATTTCTTCCACAACCCTCTTTTGTTTTTGCAGCTTAAATACCAAAACCAAAACAAACCCACTGACAGACATTTTGGCTTGTCACTTCAAGTGAATTTACAAAAAAAAAAAAAAAAAAAAAATCACAGCTGTACCAAAGACATCTAACGGACATGTGGAATTATTTTAAGCATTTTTTTAAATGAAAACCCCAGCATGAAAATGCCACTAAGTGGGGTAAGCAGAAGACTTATAGTATGTCTTACTTTTTCCAAAGAGGACAAGAAGATCAGTGCACCAATTATCTCAGTCCGCAAAACGTTTCAACAACGTGGCCTTCAGCTCCACTTCCTGAACACTAGGGGGCTGTCCTGGCTAAGCTGCACATCAGCTGGAGAGTGATTGCATAAGAGAAATTAGATCTCCCTTGGAATGAGATGGTGCAAGTTCTGATGGTAAAGCCACTGTTCAGTCCTTTGGCCTCTGCATCAGAATAATACAGCACCCTTTGTGGGGACACGTGCTTTCCAAAGCCTAGCGCTTGATGACCACCTGCTCAAAGGCTCCAATTGCGACCCTGAAAGAGAATGCCGCAGTTTGTTACAGGACAGGAAAACACACACAATATAAGGATCGCCATCTGATCTGGCAGATCTGATTTTTATCATGAAAATATGCCCCTTAAGTATAGAACATGAAGACCAGTTACACAGAGTATAAAGCAGATACATAGAGTCCTTATCAGAACCCTTATTTAGCCTTCTTCTAATTGCCCATATTTATAGTAAATGTTTGGTGTCTGGTGTCTTGCACCCCCAACCCATGGTTACATAATCAAACCCACCTCATGTGTTGGCTTCCCAAAGCTGTACTTCCTCCAGGACCAACAAACAAGCTGAGCCCCTCCTCTGCAGCAACACAAACACAAATACACATTAGAAATAAGAAAAACGAAAATCAGCTCCTACAGTCGGGGCTTAAAAAAATGCCCCACTTATTTTAAGGTTAAATCAACCAATAAATGAGTTTTAGGCAAGCAAGATCTTTTCAGGAACAGAGGTAGGTAGTTTATACTTGAGGATGCATTTCCACACAAAAATGTGTGCAACATTTGTCTCAATAAACAGGGAGACTCATCCTTTCTTAATCTCAACACAACAAACAACTCTTCTCTCTCTAAGACTTTGTAATAGGGTAGCTATCCAGATGTGAGTTTAAACCACACCTCATGGAATTACTGTGATAAGTTATGCAATTCTTCATGAAAGATGAATCATCTTTGGCAAGATTGGTTTAAGGACTTTGATTAACCCCTAGAGACATTACACTGTTGCGACACCTCAAAGTAACTTGATCCCATCTGCAACATGGTGGGAAATGTTCCACACCAAGATCAGGAGTACACACCCTCTGCACTGGAGTCCAAGAATCCGTGGCTGAAATCCTGGCTCTGGAGGATTTTCTCAATTATATCATCTGCATCCACTCTGGTCGCATCAACTCTTTTCAGCTGATTCTCCACAGAGTTCTGCTTGACTGGGTGTCTAACAAGGGAAGAGAAACATGGGTCAGTATTGCAAATACAGGGTTCAAACACCAAGAAAAAAAATGTCATTTATAAATTAGGAAATACTATACATTGTCATCAGGTTAAATAGAGCATGGAAATAATGTAATAGTGGTCAAAAGACCACCATCTTATCAATAGCATACTATTCCAAGGTCAGAGTAACTGTCTGTATCACCTTTGAGCCTTTAAATGTATTGCAGGGCTGTCAAACGTATAATGATAAGTTGCTGGGACTGGGGGAGTAGTCTTATTCTCCTTCTCTCCTCTCTCCACCTGCTGATCACTGTGTTCAAGGATGCTGCCGATGCCCGTAGAGGCAGAACCTCCTGACCCGCTCCGCCGATGGCTCAGATCTGTTAAACTGGAGTTGTTTGAGCTGTAACCTACAGCATGTGAGGGGGGGAAACCCATATAGTAAATAAATATGAGAACATTTCCAATGATTAAAGTGAATAAATGTGTGTGACAGTATTTCTACCTGAAATTTTTGACAGCTGACTTGCATAGCTGGGTGTTCGAGAGTGACCAAACGTTACCAGCTCCTCTGGCACTGATACAGACTTTCCTGGAGTCCCTGTTAAAAAAAAGTGATGTATTCAGTAAATTATAATAAATTGCAGTAAATTAAATAGAAATCAGACATTTTTTTATAGCTTTGCTATCATAATTGACAAAACATAACAAAACATGATAAAACGTAAATGCAGCTACTGCTATCCAGTGTCATGATTAAGGAATATTGATTTCATAGTCGACCCCATTACAGTCTCCCAAAAAATATCTGTGTTTCTGTAAGAAACTGACCAGTAATATTAAAGGGTATTTGCCATAAGCTACATATACGTACCAGAGACTGAGTGTGATATGTGCATGTCTCCTCCTTTCCTCCCCTCAAGTAGACCCTCTGCATTTGCCTGTGGGATCCCCAGAGTCATGGCTGTAGATGGGGGACTAAAGGGAACACAGGTTTTGGTTAACTTCATTAAAACTTATGTAAACAAAGCTTCCCTACATCAGACCTTTTGGCTTATTGTGGCACAGCTGGTTACTGAATTGATAATTCACGACTAGGTGAGCTTGCCGGGTTGCTCACTAATTCAACTGTGACACCTTTTGCTACAGCTGGAACAGCTGTCGCTGGTGTTGTGAGTAAGACTTCATCTATGTTTGTGCTATCATAGACACCTACTATAGCTGGAAATAACACATAAGTGGTTTCTGAATACTTTTGGGTAAGCGTTTCTATGCAAGTGTGTCTGAGGTGGGCAGATATTCTGCCACAACTGTATAAAGTGCATGTTTTACGTATGTAGATGACATTAAAATGAAGGGCAAATTCAAAAACACATGCAGCCAGAAAGCATGTTGGCTTCACAGCTGGTGTGTCCCTACTGGAATCAGCTGGTGCTTTTACTGCCAAGTCAAAATATCAACCATCCATGTAAACACACTTTCTGTGTAGCTTTGACGATAATATTCAAACACATTTACTCATTAACAACTGGCTGTTTGATCACACTGGTTAGTATTAGTTATAAGCAAGTTATGAGCAACCTCTAGTTTGACAAACAACAAAAGGCACAGTAACGTGAGTTCTACAAAGTGTGAAAAAAGAGCATCCTTTCTCCTCCGCTTTGTAAATCCCACACACACACACACACACACACACACACACAATGAGTAACACTCTGTGGGTGGGTGACTAAGCTCTAGACATCTCCAGGGCAACAGCTTGTGTGTTATTACACTAAGCATGAGCTGAAACAGGAAAGAAATATCAAGAAAGGCAGCTTACTGTTTGCACATGGTACAGTCTTTGCCAGGAGTGCGACGTTACATCACATCATTTGCGACAAACCTGTTCTACGTAAAGCTTCTGATCACATATCAGCCATTGGTCACTCTTAAGGTTGGGCAGCTCAATGTTTTGGGTGAGGCATCATTAGCTCTCAGATAAGACAACAATAAGGCCTTACCTACAAAGTACTTTGCCATTACTTCTCTGGATCTCATTACTGATAACATGTGTAAGGGTGTCACTTTAGGACAGACAGGAAGTCAAGAAAGCACTTCCTCTGAGGTTAGAAGCAGACGTTTATACCTCAGGAGCAGACTTTCGTTTCAACCACAAATGTAAAGCTTTGTAGTTAGGCATGCAAACCAAATTGAGTATTTATCAAAATTATATCTCTCTCTCTAATATATATATAATATATATATATATTATATATTTATAATATATATATATATATATATATATATATATAATATATATATATATATATATATATATATATATATTTAATTTTATATATATATAAAAAAGATAATTTAAGAATTTCTTAGTTGCACGTGTGAGATGTTAGGTTGAAGAAGCA